GGGGGAGGGGTGGGGGGTGGGCTCGGCACTCTTTAATGTCCAAGCAACCCTGTCCGAGCTGGGACACCAAGGTGTCCCCCTATTCCTTGTCCCGAGTGGATACCACAGAACAGGATCTCCCCACCCTGCCACCTTTCCAGCACCTAGATCTTGGTAAGCCTGCACCTTCGGGAAGCTTCTCAAGGGCATTCTCTGGCCACCATGGTCACCCTGCCCTGGGTCAGACTCAGAGATGCAGACAGGACCCCCACTGGGCTCAGGGCCCTAGCCAGCATTAACGTTGCCGTGGAATCTGGAATCAAAGCTTGGGAGCTGCGTGGGCTTTCATTTCTCTCGATGATTTAAGTTCTGAGAAGAGTAGAAGATGGGGACCTACTTAAATGACTGTGGTATATCTCTCGTGTCAAGCCAGTGATGGACAGCCATCATTGCCTGTTGCCCTCTGGCCACGATCTCTCTTTCTTGGAACTTGGAACTCTTGGAGGCCATAAATGGGCCCGCCCTGCCTTCCTAGATTCTGGAGTCACTTCTGTTGGAACAGTGTGGGACTTGGGGCCATGTGTTTTACCTGAGCCTCAGTTTTCTTTCCTGTTAAATGGGCACAATGATTATTTGCCACCACTGTTCCCAGGTCTCGGATATAAAGTGCCTGACCCGGCTTGGAGCCCCTAGTTGGTTGAGGGGCTGAGGGGCGGGGATGAACGCCCAGGTTGAGGGCAGCCCAAGGCAGAGTCTGCTCCACTCACTCGCAAAGAATGATGCCATCTTTGAGGCCGTCCATGAAGTTGTTGCCGATGCGGCGCCCTGTCACCCCCTCGATCCATTCTCGAAGCTCCTGCTCCCGCTGGTGGTCGTACTTCTGGGCCAGCTGGGGGTGGGGGGCGCAGAGAAAGTGGTGAGGACGCAGCGTGGAGCAGACTCAGTCCTCAGACCCCATCTGATATTCCCTGGGCCTGATCTTCTTCATCCCCTTCCCAACTAAGGCAATTCTGCCCCAGCGTCCATGGGGGGGTAGGGGTGGGGGTTGAAGTGGGCTGAGGGCCAGGGCTGAGGTGGCACCTGCCCAGGGGGCCATTCCGGACATTCTGAGGTTTGGCACCAGAGAATGCGGACAAGGCGGGGGGTGGAGAGTGGGGGGTACTCAGAGCTGGGGGCGGGGCGGTGCCTGGCCTCTTGGTTCCCCCTCCAGGCCAAACTTGGGGCTTAGCTTCCCGGGGGCCCTGCCCGTCCCCCCCTGCTGGAAGCCTGGGCCCCCAGGCAGGGGAGGAGGAGCCCTAAGGAGGTGCCCTGAGTATTGCCTTGCAGGGGACTGTCCTGTCTTGCATGCCTGCCTCAGTGTCTCTTCAGGCCCTCATCTCCTGGGCTCCAGCTCCGGGTGGAGTGGCCGGGAGCTTGTCTCTGTCTTACTCCTGGCCCTGTGCGTGTGGCCGTATTTCTCCCTCTCCCCATCCCCGTGACCTCTCTCTCTCTCTCCAACCCTGTCTTTCCTTGGCCCTGTCTTCCTGTCCCCATCCCTCCGCGTCTGGCTGGGGGTGGGGCTCCTGGTGGGGCCATCTCTGCCTCGAGGCTGGTCTCCGACTCCAGGTTCCCTGCCTCTGGTGGGGGTGGGGCTCGTCCGGCTCCTCTCTCGGCCTCCCCATCCCTGTCTCGGTCTTATCTCGCGCTCGTGGCTCACCCTCCCCATCCGTCCCTCTCAAGTCTCTGGGCTCCCAGAATCTCCGTCCCTCTCCGTCCCTCGCCCTCTGCCCCCCTCCCCACGTTGCCCCCCTCCGTTTCTCCAGAACCCTCAGCCCCAGCCCCGACAGGCTCCAGGACTCTGGGGGACGGAGCTGGCCCTTCTCCTGGGGGAGGAGGAGGTGGGAGGGGGCGGCCCCTCACCTGGCCCCGGCCCTGCCGCCCCCCTCCCCACCAGCCCGGCTTTATAAAGCAAACCGGCCCTTATATAGCGCGGCCCCGCGGGCCGGGCTCCCCGAGGCCGCCTTATAAGGCGCGGCGGCTTCTCGCGGCTCTGGGGCCGGCGCTGGGGGGGAGGGGGGCGGCGCTGGGATCGCTCCCGGCCCGCG